CTAAATATATTGGTAATGTTGAAGACAAAATCTTTTTTTCATAGTTGTTTTTAACTATTGCATTTTAAATGTAATTGATGAATAGTAATTTTGGAGAACGATGTGTTTTTACCTAACACGAAGACCTTTTCATCACGTGATTTAATTGTCGTTTTCCGTTTTCGGTATGTTAACTACTAGTATTTTACTGTACAAAAGATATTTTATTTTGAAGAGGAAAACCTCACATCGCTTCCTGTGTTTTTTCCTAACGTTTGTGATCATTGAATCCTTTGACTGTATCAATGACTTTTGTTTTATTTCAAAGAAGAAGATCGGTAAATGACTCATAATCTTGATTTGTTTCTAGTCACTGTATAAACATATCAATTGTAGATGAAAACCATTATGATAATTGTTGAGTTTTGTTTAGCGTTGATTGAACTACTAGACAGTTTATAGGAATATTAATTCTGTAGATAACGACAAACACGTTTCTTGATTTCTCTGTCATCTACCGTCATACTTAAAATTTTGAAATATAAATGGCAGTTTTATCTTGCAGATGAAGACGAGTTTGATACTTGTTGTGTTTTGTCTTCTGTCCCTATTGGTCATGGATCCTGTTTCCTGTTATAACGGACGATGTCGGAAGAACTGCGATAACAAGCAATGTGTGAGTAGTTGTAAGAGCAAAGGATTCCACGGCGGGTCATGCGCAGCTTCAGTCTATTGTCCGAAGAGTAGAAAATACAAGTGCAAGTGCTATCGTAGACGTGGTTGATATGAAAAAAAAGAAAAACATCAATCCCCCTCATAAAAGAATTGAGGAATGGCATGAAATAAAGAAAAATTAAAAACTAGAGGTACTGTGAGCGATGAGCTCACTAAATGATACCCCCCGCCTCCATATAGTTATAATTGCAAAGTCCATGTTTTGCTGTGGCCGGGAAACCCAAAGTGTGTGTCGGATCAAAAAGTAAAATAGGAGGTGCACAATGGCAATATGTAATAAAGATTCTCTGAGAGTTTCATCAAATTTCATTCAGTGGTATGAGAGGAGTTGCGGATAAGAGATGGGTACCCTAAAGCGTAACAGACGGACGGACGGACAGACGGAAGGACGGACGGACAGACGGACGGACGGACAGACGTACAGACGGACGGAATTAACGATTACTATATACCCTCCCGCTTTTCAAGCGGGGGGTATAAAAAGTTTCTCTACTTTGTTGACTATTTTTGCCATCTCTTTCTCGAGTAAAACCATCCGAATTACTTCTCAAAATAAAAAAATAATCCTCTCAAATTATCTGCATATAGGCATACACGTATACACATACTGGAACCAACTGCGAATCCAAAGGGACAAAATAACATTTATATCCATATATTTTTCTGTAACGAGGCTATTCGCAGCTTGTTTTTGCTTAACCTCTAGTAAAAGTCAGGTGATGAAGGTATATATAGCTGCACAAGTAAGGAAGTTGACGATAGAATAGTTAAAGTCATCCGTTTATTATATAGCTTGGTTGTTAGATTACCATTAGTGTCTTCTTCAAGTAAAATATCCAAGTATGAAACAGAAATGTCGGACTCTGTGGTATCTTTTATATCAAGCTCACCAGGATATATCATATCGACGCAGTTATGGAAATTGACAATACGTCGTCTATATATCTAAATGTCGAGTTGAAGGCCACGGCAAGTGTTTTCTTCTTGATTTTCACGCAAAAGGTTTTGCACAAATTCTGCTTCCTATGAATATAAAAAAAAGGAAAATAATATACTGAGTACATGTTTTATTGATTTTTTTATACCTTGGAAAAATGATTGAATGATAGAAAGATATTTAACTGTAATTTACGCGATAAAAAATGCATGAAATTTTACTCTTTTTTATAGTAAAATTTTACCAAAATAAAATTACCGTGTATATAAATTACTTAGGACTAATAATACATGAGCACTGCATCCTAACCAAAACACTCGGAATCAGTGCAAATAGTTTAATTATTTAACGTAAACACAAACACCTTCGTGATTATTTTTTCTACATACTCTAGTTTTATTTTGATTAAAATGAAATATTGAGATAACGAAAGCTTTTCCAGTTCAATAGTCCAATTAACAATACAAATGAGGAGCAGAGCTAACAAGGATCTGTATAACATCATAAGGGGATCAGGTGCCAAGACAGAGCCAGCATGCCCTGCCGACCGGTTACTGATAATCATCGGCTGACTCCCACACCTTTTCATTTAAAGTGGAGGCACAACCCAACAAAAGAATTTCGAGTAGGCTTTGAGCCAGTGATTCGCTGTCATATTCAAAATATAAAAATTGAAACAAACCTACCAAAGAATAAGAATCTAGCTCTTCATACAAAATGTAGGCACAAACCATCCAAGGAATTCCGAGTAGCGTTTGAGCAAGTGGTTTGCTGTCATTTTCAAAAAAAAAAGTTATGAGGACACAAATCATCTTATTATTGAAAAGTTTGCTTGTTGGGGGAGGGGGATTTGAATTTAAAGAAAAATTAAGTGCATGTACTAAATGGTAAAAACATGATTTCATTTGATATCGTTTCAAATAATGTCTTTAAAAATATTTTTAATTTAATAATAACTTTATTAAATGTGGCTAGGTGAAAATTTGACTAGTTGACCTGTTATCGTAATTTTTTTTTTTTTTATTTGGAATGTCTTTTAAACACCTGTCAGGAACGTACCCGTAACATGAAAAATCTAATATTTGCAAGTTAAATAATATTTAGTATTTATAAACAGTATCATTTACAGTGTGTCATGTACCTAATTATGTAACACCATACAATATTACGCACTGGTCGGGTATATACGAAGATCGAATTGAGTTTCATTGAGATTTGTATTCTGTGTATACACAGTAAACATAAATTCAGACATCCATATCATTGTAGACAAATTACAAATTTTGATAGTACAATAATATATAACGGGAGTATTTGAGACTTTCGAACGATTAATTTTTGTCCTAATTAAAATAAATGAATAAAATGAATTATGGATGTTTCGGGACCGCGATGTTTCGGGACCCCGACGTTTCGGGACCTGACAACACGTTGTGGGACTTGGGTTTACACGTTTTGGGTCTTCTAAATATTTTGTGTTTTTATGTTTATACATGTATAATTTCTTAGTTTGATACAAAATTTATAATTTAAGAAGCACAGATTGGAGTTTTTATTAGTTTTAAAGTTTGCATACGGCATAGAGCACGCCTGCCGAGAAAATCAATAGAATGCTGTTTAGAAAATGCTTTGTTAGTTATGTTGGCCAATTTTTCAGAAATTGCTGAATCAACATCATCATCATTCTCTAACAGAGCATCCATCTCTTCTAAGACTGAACCTATCTGTTTATCATCTTTGGCTCCGGAATTTCCGGATTCCAAAAGATTTTTTATATCATCGGTATCATCATATTCTGAGTCATCTGTCTCCCCCTCTTCCATTAAATCAGCAGAACGCTTGTTGGAAGTGGAGGGCTGGTCAGTAACCATAGGTTTGGGGCCTGCTGCAGCTAATGCAGAAAAAGCATCCCCCATTTTATTGATGCCAGTAGCAACTGTGTCCATAGTACTTTGAATTTTATTCAAAGCATTAAAAATTTGCTTTGAATCTGATGTTAGTTCATCATCAAACATGACCCCAGTAGGGTATCCTCTTCATGACCAGTAGCCATGATGAGTAATAAAGCAATTAAATTAAAAAATAACAAAAATCCTTTGTTCACTGATAAACCGCGGGAAAACCACTGCTGCTCAAAATAAACACGTCTGCACTGAACATGCTGAAGCCAAGATAAAAGCGCACTGAGGCCAGATAGGCTAGCGCTATCTCATGTGGTTCTGTAATAAACTGCAGGCGCGGATCCAGAAATTTTTCAAAGGGGGATTGAAGTATTTTTCAGAAGGGGGGTTGAAGGGGAAAACGGCAGTTAAAAAGTACTTTGTACACATACATTTAGTTAAATAACTCAATAGAATATCGATACAGGGTGGAGTATGGTTTTTGAAAGTGGGACGTTGATCAATCTGGGAAAAAGTACTTGTATACATTACCAGAAAGTTTTTGAAAAGAAAGGAAAATAAATCTCCGAACCTGAAAATCCTATTTTGTAAAGGGATGGGGTTTTATTTTGTTTTTATAACCGAATTTCTTTATATTTTACAACATTAGCCTTTCACCTTACATTTTCTATAGTAAAAACACAACAAAAAAATTGTAACTTTCTTATATCTCTTTCTTTTTTGCAAATCCAAAGGGGGGGGGGGTTGCAACCCCCCTAACCCCCCCCCCCTCTGGATACGCCACTGAACTGAACAGTGATGAAGTAGAATTGTGTCATCTCTCGTGAGATGACAAAAAATATCGGGATCGGAATTCAAAATACTTTGGACAAGACTAGGGTGGTAGCACTGGTTCTCTGCCCTTGATTCCAGTCGCTACCGCTAGGAATTACAAGGTTTTTTTTGGGAAAAGAGTACCAATTAATTTCCCATAGAACTCTATACAAACCTTAGGCCCTCCAAGTAATTTACTAATTCCCGTTCAAACAAATCTATGTTATCATTTGAAAGTTCGTTCTAAGCACTTATCAAAAACACGGAAAAAAATATACCGTTCCGCGGCGTTTATAGGTCAAATTTGCAGTTATTTAGAACTTACAGAGATCGGCAGTAAATGACACCCTGCCAAAAATATCAATCCCCACTCCTACAATCTCCCCTGGTATTTCTATATTTTTTGTAATATTCCCACATTCCATTATTTATTTCAAACATTAATATTTTTACTTTAAAATGAAAATATTTACATACCTGAATTCAGCCAATCAGGTAAAGCCTACCCATTTATTACCCTGCTTCATCTTGTTCAACCAGGAAATGATTTCAAAATCTGGGTCTTTGGTGCTCTTTTTCCTATATTTTAGGGCGCTTGCGCCTGTGAACCAATGTCAGGGTACCAGTCTAACTAGGGTGGAAGCAAACGAGACTGGCGTTGAAAAGGGCAATTCATCATTTTCATGTGGATATATTAGTCTATAAAATTACTGTAAATAGCAACAATGTAGGGTTACACATCTGGAAAAATTGGTAATCAAAATAATATTATTTTTCTTTCTTGTTTTTATTTGTTTACGATAGAATTTGAGTAAATAAGGAAGAAGGAAGTATAATTTTCTAAAGTTTTGTCAACATATCAGAGTCAATTGAAATGTTTTAATTTTTTAACAAAAAAGAAATTTGTAGGATAATTTCATTTCACCGTAACATTTTTACTGATAATGTTGTCACCAAGATCCAAATCTGGGGGCTATAGTGACTGCTAGTGGCTTCAAAAGAATTTAGGTCATTGAAATTTGATATTATCATGCGCGGATCTAGAAGGGCAGGGGTTCTGCATTCTCTTGGATTTTAAGTTGTTAAATCTTCGCAGTAAAGTAACTAAATAAATGATTGATGTTTGATAACCCCTTCAAACATTTTAAAAATGGACCCTTTTTTAGTATTGGTACTAGGGAGAATCGTAAAACTTTAGATATTTAGTCATTAAGTTGCTTTATTCCCCTTCACCAGGGACCTATATACTAACGGGATAGGCAACTACCGCAAATTTCGCGATATCTCGTAAGTCGCGGGATTTCGTAAGTCAACTTTAATTAACTATATTTCTAACGCTATCACATATTTGAGATCAAATCCTTTAATTATCTGTCAAAAAATCATTCAAGATATGTTTAAATCACGTATTATACTCCTTATCTTAGTAGTAATTTTGTTTTATGCAAAATCACACATGCCCCGATCGGCCATATTTCCGAGAAATCGCCGATTTCGGTCTTTGTTTTCCTTATATTTAAATTATATTATTATTATCATTTAAAATTTATTAATAAATCAATTCCAATACATAAAAGGAATAAATGATAATAATCAGAAAACACCCTGTTTACTGGGAATAAATGTTAATTGAAAAATTCGTAGTGTCTTGCGTGATGTTTTGGGTACAAAAACATGGCGATGAAGGAGTTGCCTATCCCTTTAGTATATAGGTCCCTGCCTTCACACACAAAATACACCTCCACCCTACATGTGCCACTGCATATCACAACCATGAAATATGATAAATAAAAAATATATATGACTTAAAAAACAAGAGATGCTTGATCAATTAGATCATCATTATCAGGATTACAACAAGAGGCCCATGTGCCACATTGCTCACCTGAGCACATGGGCTAGTTAAAAAAACTAATAAATCAGCTCAGTTCTGAAAATTTTACTTTTTGGGGGAAGGGGCTTGAAATTTCTATTACTTGAGAATGTCACTATATTAATAAAACATACATGTTTAGCTTTGTCATACTTAAAAAGATTTTTACAGATTTTTTTCTCACAATATGAATATTACTTGATCTCCCATTGTTACCCCTCACTCACACCCCAAGGGACATCATTTGAATACATTTAAACTTCACTACATTCAGATGCTTAGTATCGTTTTGCAAACAGCGCGACAGTTTGCTTGATAGGGCGTGCTAAAATTTTGTATGCTGATTATCGTTTTACTCATCGATTGGATGTTTGATATCAATGGAATCAATAATAATTTGCATATGAAACTCCGAATACAACAATATCCTGATAATACTGGCCAATCACATTGAATGATTGTTCACTCAATGATTGCACTCTCCAGCAACACGTGGTCTGTCTAAGACCGATTTCTGTCCTTATAAAAGCTGTATTATAGTTGTAGTGATTTGACCGCATGGGGTTTGATATACGTGCATGTTAAGAAAACTCAAAGAATGGAATTAGTAAGCAAGGCTACTATGCTACTGTTATACTTTGTAGCTATCAGGTAAAAAAATCTTGCTTTGTTTGTCCACATGTAATTGTTGTTTACTGCATACTCGTTAACATGTCATTTAATATGATTGGTCAGTATTGTCAGTGGTATTGTTGGGTTCTGTTTCATATGCAAAGTATTATTGGTTCCATTGAAATCAATTGTCCAATCGAAAAGTAAAATGATAATCGGCATATAAAATTTTAGCACGCCATATCAAGCAAGCTGTCATGCTGTTTGTAAAACGATAATAAATGTCAATTCTACTAAACAAAACTTTACTGTTCTGGGGATTTTTTTCCTATGCATATTCTTATGCAGAACTTTGATCCCTCATTGTGGCCATACCCTAACCCCCGGGGTCATAATTTGAGCAAACTTTAATCTACCTTAGATGAGTCATTGTTTTTTAGTCCGTAATTATTACTGGTAGGCCGAAGTCTTCTGTTTTTCTTCTGGTTGAGCTATTTGTGGGGAAAATCAAACCACTAAGGAAAAACCCTTAGGCATGTTTATTGGCATAGTTGACACATTGTTTAATCTGATAAGTATTCTCTACAAGACTGCACAGATTTTAAATATGCTCATTGTGGCGCCTTGACATCAGAATCCTATTTAATTTGTTGTTGCAATCTGATTTCTATACCATGTGTATACCGTGCTTAGTTTTTTTTATGATCTCGATCCGTATTTCGGATGAAAATTCTTACAAAATTGCACAATAAAGTTACAATGAAATTTAACAATAACATAAATGATTTATTATGACCCCTTCCAAGAAGGGAGGGCATATGCTTTGCTGCTGTCTGTCGGTAAGTATGTTGGTCCATTTAGTTTCCGTCCATTTTCTGAACAACCGTTGCACATACTGATATGAAATTTGGCATACAGATACATCAGGTGAATATCTAGGTCAAGTTTTGTTTTGGGTACGATCTTGCCATTTTTGACAGAGTTGTGCCCCTTGGACTTAGAAAAATTCCACTTATGTGCAGTTTCTGTTCATTTTCTTCACAGAGGTTGAACATATGGAAATGAAATTTGGTATTCAGATTGATCAGCTGAATATCTAGGTCAAGTTTTGTTTTGGGTACGATCACACCATTGTTGTCAAAGGTATGCACCTTGTAGTACTTAGAAAAATTCCACTTATTTGCAGTTTCCGTTCATTTTCTTTGCAGAGGTTGCACATATTGAAATGAAATTTAGAATATAGATTTATCAGCTGAATTTCTAGGACAAGTTCTGTTTTGGGTATGATTGTGCCATTTTTGATAGAGTTATGTCCCTTGGACTTGGAAAAATTCAATTTGTCGGAGGGGGGGGGCATAAGTGTTTTACAAACAGCTCTTGTTTAAGTTATTTTCGCTGTTGCTATGTATCCATAGGAAGTTTGAATGTGGGTGTCAGTTGCAAATTTTCAATATATGATTTTTTGAATGCGCCAAGAACCTGTACCATTAACACCATTACTGTAAACTTTTCACATTTTCATCTTTTTCTCAAGAACTGCTGGGCCGATTTCAAGGAAACTTTGCACAAAGTTTTCTAAGGTGAAGACGATTCAAATTTGTTCAAATGAAGGGCCACGCCCTTTTCCAAGGGGAGATAATTATGAATTAAAGAAAAATTAATGGCATTTTGAAAAAATCTTCTCAAGAACCACTGGGCCAAGAAAGATGAAACTCATGTGGAAGCATCCTCAGATAGTGTAAATTCAAATTTGTTCAAAGTATGACCCCCAGGAGTAGGGTGGGGCCACAATGGCTGATCAAAGTTTTAGATAGGAATATAAAGGAAAAATCTTTAAAAATCATCTTCTCAAGAACCACTGGGCCAGGAAAGATGAAATCGTGTGAAATCATCTTCAGGTAGTGTAGATTGAAGTTTTTTTCAAATCATGACCCCCGGGGTTAGGGTGGGGCCACAATGGCCGATTAAAGTTTTAGATAGGAATATATAGGAAAAAACTTTAAAAATCTTCTTTTCAACAACCATTGGGCCAGGAAAGATGAAACTCATGTGGATCAAAGCATCCTCAGGTAGTGTAGATTCAAATTTGTTCAAATCATGACCCCCGGGGTTAGGGTGGGGCCACAATGGCCAATATAAGTTTTAGATAGGAATATATAGGAAAAAGCTTTAAAAATATTCTTCTCAAGAACCACTGGGCCAGGAAAGAAGTAACTCGTGAAATCATCTTCAGGTAGTGTAGATTGAAGGTTTTTTCAAATCATGACCCCCGGGTTAGGTTGGGGCCAAAATGGCTGATCAAAGTTTTAATTAGGACTAGATAGGGAAATCTTTTAAAATTGTCTTCTCAAGTACTTCAAAGTCATGATCAGTGATATTTATGTGGAAACATCCTCAAATAGAGTAGATTCTAGTTTGTTCAAATTATAACCCCCAGGGATAGGGTGGGAGCACAATGGGGGATCCGAGTTTTACATTAAAATATATTTACAGAAATCTTCTCCTCAAGAATAGCAATGCCATGATTAGTGATACTAGTATTTATATGCAAGCATTTTTGGGTAGTGTACATGGTGTAGAATTAAATTTGTTCAAATCATGACCCCCCAGGGTAGGATGGGGCCACAATGGTGGATCAAAGTTTTACATAAAAAGGGGGGAAAATCTCAAGAACAGAAAAGCTATGCTTAGTCATATTGACATGTAAGCATCCTCATGTATCAAAGATTTAAATTTATTCAAATCATGGCCCTTGGGGATAAGGAGGGAGACAATGGGGAATCAAATTCAAATTTTTATGATGGAGTTATATATAGGAAGAAAATGTTTTTTAAAAAATCTTTGTATCAAGAACAGTAAACATGGTAAAGTCATATGCTGTGTTAATATGAAGGCATTCTCAAGTAGTATTAAAATTCAAGCCCCCCCCCCCCCCCTTTCCGTAAAATTTTCAGTTCTGATCTGATTTGTGCTTTTTCCTAGCCGATTTGCTCAGGTAAGCGATGTGGCCCTTGGGCCTCTTGTTGACTTTCATAGTTGCATCCCAGTATTTAGGAAAACAAGAGATTGAATCATCATACTTTGTTAGTTGACTCAATTTGGTCCTTGAATTGTGTCAGTGAAAAAAAAGACATGATGACATCTGCTTATTGGAATTTTATGACATAATCTGAATATTTCAGATAATAAGTGGCTTAAATTAGAATCACAATCTTTTTCCAATTCTGTATTTCAGGTTCTAAGACGGTGTCTATTGGAAGATATCCAGTGTTGCTCAATTACCCCACCTCTGCTGATTTTTCCGTGAAATCCTGGCTTACGATTGGTTGAAGTCTGTCACATGAAAGCGGTGGATTACTTATACATGGTCAGTTGTAAATCCATACCCGGTCAGTGAAATCTATACCCGGACGATGTATAATGTCACAAACACAAATGTGACGTCATAATAGGCAGAGTATAAGCGCGATAAAGCATTTAGCAGAGAAAACCATTTATAAACTGCAGATAAAACGTGAATGTTTCATCGGTGGGGTAAATTCGTTACATAGTCTTTTAGTGAGAGGGTATGGGATGATACCTGGTTAGTAAATTTTATACCTGACTCGGCTCCGCCTCGCCAGGTATGAAATTTACTAACCAGGTATCATCCCATACCCTGTCACTAAAAGACTATGTAACTAATAATACATCATCGGATAAAATGGATTTGAATTTTAACAAATAAACATCAGGTTTGTTTCTAAAGAAAGTAGTATTGACATTTTGAAAAAAAGGATGTAGTTTTTGCTCACCTGAATCACCTTGTCCACCTCTCTGTCATTGCAATCATGTCACTACCTCTCTGTCATTGCAATCATGTCACTACCTCTCTGTCATTGCAATCATGTCACTACCTCTCTGTCATTGCAATCATGTCACTACCTCTCTGTCATTGCAATCATGTCACAACCTCTCTGTCATTGCAATCATGTCACTACCTCTCTGTCATTGCAATCATGTCACTACCTCTCTGTCATTGCAATCATGTCACTACCTCTGTCATTGCAATCATGTCACTACCTCTCTGTCATTGCAATCATGTCACTACCTCTGTCATTGCAATCATGTCACTACCTCTCTATCATTGCAATCATGTCACTACCTCTCTGTCATTGCAATCATGTCACTACCTCTCTGTCATTGCAATCATGTCACTACCTCTCTGTCATTGCAATCATGTCACTACCTCTCTGTCATTGCAATCATGTCACTACCTCTCTGTCATTGCAATCATGTCACTACCTCTCTGTCATTGCAATCATGTCACTACCTCTCTGTCATTGCAATCATGTCACTACCTCTCTGTCATTGCAATCATGTCACTACCTCTCTGTCATTGCAATCATGTCACTACCTCTCTGTCATTGCAATCATGTCACTACCTCTCTGTCATTGCAATCATGTCACTACCTCTCTGTCATTGCAATCATGTCACTACCTCTCTGTCATTGCAATCATGTCACTACCTCTCTGTCATTGCAATCATGTCACTACCTCTCTGTCATTGCAATCATGTCACTACCTCTCTGTCATTGCAATCATGTCACTACCTCTCTGTCATTGCAATCATGTCACTACCTCTCTGTCATTGCAATCATGTCACTACCTCTCTGTCATTGCAATCATGTCACTACCTCTCTGTCATTGCAATCATGTCACTACCTCTCTGTCATTGCAATCATGTCACGCTATAATTTTGTAACAGACAATTATTGGAAGCTTGTACTGACAAGGACTGTTTGTAATCTAAGAGTGTGTAATGACCTTGACTAAATGACCAGCACGTTTAAGGTCACTTACAATTAAGTGTCAATTTCAAGTATGGTATACAATAATTTTCGTATGATTGATTGATGCTGTTTTATGTCCCATTCGACAATTTTTCACTCATATAGAGATATCACCATATACCGTTGAAGGGCTTCCAATGTTAACCTTTACTAGGTACTACATGTACTAGGTATTACTAGGTATTCAGGGCCATTGAACAGTGAGGGGTCCTTTACTTGCCAGCGCCTGCTGTGACGTGTGGCCTTGGTTTCTAAGGTCTCATCCAAAGGAACCGCAACTTTTACTTCAAAGTGCCGAGTGCATGGCAAAGGAACATTTGTTTCCTTTTTTATCGACTTAGATTAGTCACGACCCAGATTTGAACTCATGACTTTCCTATGACAGAGCGAGTGCTCTACCAACTGAAACTTATTTATGAAAAACATGGAAAGTTCATATCTTATATAAAGATTGTTTAAGGCCTGAAGTTTTGTCATGACCTTTATCTAAGGTCATTTGATGAAATTCAAGGCATCTCTCGAAAATGTTTAATTTCTTTCCCTACCCTAGTTTGTAACGTATAATGGAGTACATTTAGAGGCTCATCACAAATAAGACATATGGCATAGAGTTTGTGTCGAACTTGATCCAAGATTTTTCAAGAAATATTTAAGGTTATATTTACTCTCAGTAAAACTGAATTATTTGGGTCACTTTATAACTGGAGTCAAATTGAAAGATGAATCATGATATCTGACACAAAAAAAAAAATAATTCATAAAGTTCTTGGTTACTTTTAGGAAATAGACAATTTTCTATTCATTCTACAGTATTCTGAAAAAAAGAAAATAAAAGTTTATACTTTATCATGTTTACAGATATATTTCTTGAAAGTGTATCATGACCTTAACAGGGATTTTCCGCTGCTCCGTGAAGGGCCGAATATGGGTCCCATTCTCAAGTGCAAAATCTTTCCATTTTTCCCCAAAATGAACAGCCTGTGTTAAATTTTTGAAAAATTCGTGTAAAACAAACATGTTCAAGTTTGAATTCTTAATGATATGAACATAATTTTAGGAATCTTAGCTAAAACTTTATAATAATAGATGTATTTTCTAAAAGTTCTGCATAATGAAGTAAAAAATCAATTTTAAGTATCATAGGTGTTTATTTATGGAAATACATCTTGATATAAAATTTCCCAAAAAGTTGAAAAATGTCATAAAATTCCCAATGGTAAGGGCCTTGGCCCCATTCCCAAAATGGGGTGGAAAATCCCTGCTTAACTAAAAGTCATTCCAGCAATTTCAAGCTCAACTGATAGAAAAAGTATAAAATTTGAAACCATTTCATTACTTTCTAAAGGATATGCAATCCATGATATAGGTAAGGGAAGTCAAAAACTAAAGCAATAATTATTTGTGATCTTCAAACTTGAACTTCAGGCCAACGTACATGTAGTAAGGTCAAGGTCATTACCAGAAAAAGGGTGAAATTCATCTTAGGGCCAAAATATTTTTTAAAAAGAAAAAACATTGGATGACAATTTAGTACTTATTTCTCAGACAATATTGTAGTGTAATTTTGTGAACACTATCACAGTTCTATAAGCTTACTGTAAATACGACATGTAACACTTGTATTTCGGGTTAATGTTCTGACTTTGTCTTTACAGATATCTAGGGGCGTGCTGTGCAGCTGTTACGAGGATAAAGAAATTGCTGCCTCACCGGTTTTGATGTTTCCTCAACATTCAAATCTTTTAGAACATTCCTGCCCAGAGTAAATGTAAATACATGTACCGGATAGTATATTTGACTGTTAAATGTAGATATTTTGTTTAGAATGGCTAAAAACAAAGTAAAAACAATCATTTGAATTAAGTTATTTTATCAAAAAAAATTAAATGTTATTGTTGATAAAACATATATTTTTTACTCTTGAATGATAAATTATATTCTCCTTCATTTTATTTTCTAAGCCAAGGCAAGGATGAACGGAAACCGTGCAGTTTTTCCTTGTTTTACAGGATAAAGAAATCTCTGTGGTATGTACATTTCTCTGTTACTTATTTGTACAGGGACCAGAAGAATTAATGCGAAAGTAAGGTGTCCTCTAGCTGTCTGTCCGTCAACAATTTTTCAAAATACTACTCCTTCTAAAGTTTTTGTCTGATTTCAATATACATGTAACTAGGCACATATATTAAGACACATTATTCTAGCTATCATTTTTTGATTTTGATGAATAGTGTTGCCATGGTTACAGAAATCTGTTTGAAATACTTTCAAATTGCTGCTCCTCCTACACTATTGATCTGATTTCACTTTGATAAGTACATAGGTTTTAGACTAAATTAAGATGGCAATCAAAGATGGAAATTTTTCTACAATTCTTACAAACCTTACTCCTACATGTACTTTAGTTTTAGTCCGCAACATTTCCATGAAAAGAGACTTAATCAAAGATCATTTATCTATTTATTGCTGTTGCAGAGTTTTAAGTCCAACTGTTTCTATTCTCTTCCATTGCTATAGATACAAACTAGTAGAGCTACAGTCTCAACAGAGACATCTAGTTATATATAAACTGCTACATATCTCTTCCTCTGTTACAAACCAGTAGAGCTACAGTCTTGACAGAGACATCTGGTTATATACTGGTATATACCATTTCACGACAGGCAGTAGGTCATAGCTATATGTATATAGAGGGTGTCATTTCAGAAAATGTAAAATTTATACAGAACTATGACTTTATACATGTAAGAAAGCTAGATTTATTCTCATGATAATTATTTTGTACATTATAAAGTTGAAAAACTGGACAATAAGTGATATTTAGAGAACAGTTAACAAGTAATAACTTAATTTATCGTACATCCACATTAGGGCAGGACGAGTTGAGCAGCAACGAGTTTCGGCCAATGTGGATGTAAGATAAATTAAGTTATTACGAGTAACTGTTCTATAAATAACTTGTATCATGGATAACTCCGCCTACATTCCTATATAGCGTTAGTGCAGAGGAAATAAGTTAAAATCTAGAAAAGTCTAGAATTTTCTTGATAAACTCCGCCCACCGTCGCAAAGCATTGTGGTATAGCGCAACTCGTGTACAGATGACATTTCCAGTATAACAGCACCATCAATTTTGATGAGATTGATTTTTTAGCAATAACCGAGGATGATTTCACTCTATCACAGATATGTGATGCCATTGAAAAAGAAGAGGAACTCATTGATGGTATGAACCACTTTGACATTAACCCGACAGGCGCGAATGCACTGAACCTCGATCTGTTTGGAGATTTTAATTTGGACGGCATGGACGGAGGTGCCACCGATAGATTCAGTGAAACGAACAGCGATGAGTCGACCAAGCGTTTCGGGGGAATTTCTGATTCCGAAATTGAGAAGTTGATTTCTAGTCAAGAAAATCAAAATACAAAGAGAAATACTTGTTGGGCCTTTGGGGTTTTCGAAAAGTGGCGCCAAGAAAAAAACAAAAATCTGCCTTTTGAACTTGCAGTACCGGAACTTCTACACATGAATGTTTCTACTATGAGCTATTCATTGACACATTTTGTATGCGACGCACGCAAGAAGGACGGAAGCGAATACCCACCTAAGTCGGTCTACTATCTAGTTTGTGGATTGTTAAGGTATTTACGAGACAACAAGAGACATGACATTAACTTCTATTCAGACTTGAAATTTGCAGAGTTTAGAAAAACGCTGGATGCTCAAATGAAATCCCTCTTGTCTAAAGGACTGGGAACTTAAGTCAAACAGGCAGATCCAATAACTCAAGAAGACGAAGAACTTCTTTGGGAAAGAGAAGTACTGGGAAACAAGTCCGCGGAAACGCTACAGTACACAGTGTTTTTTTACATGTGTAAATTATTCGGGTTGTGGGGATTTGATGAGCATAGAGACTTGACATGTGCAAACGTCACGATTGGTGAGGATGGGCGAGGTAAATACATCCACTTTTTCGGCGGTTCAAACAAGACTTTTAAGGGAGGACTTGCCCACCTATCTCTGCAAAGTAAAGACATTCGGCACTATTGTCAACCAGGTACAGTATTTTTCCTTTAGATTGATTTTTTAACCTTTAAAACTACAACCTACATTGATGAATATAAATTTATTTTTGTTACTTTTTTTAAGGAGATCGATGCATAGGCGACTATTTTCATCAGTACCTTGATGCACTTGGAAACGAGGGAGAGTTTTACAGACGTCCACTTGCAGGGAACCCTATTCGATATGGTGCACAAGTTGTTGGTGTTAATAAGATTAAAAGCTTCATGAAAATCATCTGCAAAAAGGGGGGTCTCGTTGGAAACTTTACTAACCACAGTGGAAAGCGCACCTGTGCTAGCCAGTTATACAGCGCTGGAATGGATGAACAGGCGATCATGGAGAGAACTGGACATAGGTCAGAGCGAGCTGTGCGGAAGTACAAACGATCATGTCCAGAGGTAGCAGAGAATGTCAGTAAAATACTTGATCCTCCGGCGCCGAATGCAATGAAAATGGAAACACCGTATGACGAAAATGATAACCAAGAACCTATGTGTGCTGAAAACACGCTGAAAAAAGTCTGTGAAAGTTTGCAGTCTATGGCCTCTAGCAAATTGACAACAGGGCAATGGCGGATTTGACCAACAAGTTTCAGTTTGAAAACTGTAAAATTTTGTTCAATTTTTGAGACAAACGCTTGTGACATGGCTTAATGCAGGAAAACTTTAAAAATTTGGTTTAAATCATACGTGACAGTACATGTGTCAACCTTTTTTTTGTTGGTTTGTGAAAAAAAAATAAATTGTTTGTTAGCACTTTCTCTTTATTTTAAAAGTGTGCAATAACAAGTTATCACATAGGAAGTTAACGCATACTTAAGCTCCACCCCCTTTCATTTTAACTGGATTTACCATTTAGGCAACTTCAAAGGGAAAATACCGCATCAATGATACAAGTTCAATTTAATAGAAATGCAATATACAAATAAAAATATATTTTTATTGATCTATTAAAATAGTTTTACTTTACTAAGTGATTTGTAAATATTGATTTGTTGGATAGGTAATATTGTGAACACTTGGAGGCTGCTATCTACTGAGACATCAAAAGGACTCAGTTCCCAATGTAAAGGTATTTATAAAAAAATTATATATACAGCAAAACTTGTTAAGTACGAACACGGGGATATAGTGAATTCACTGATATAGTTAGGGAATCTTGGATCCCTAGCTGTATAAATTTAATGAATTCCTTATACAGATATAGTGAAGTAATTTTATTGGTCTCTGTGACTTCGTTATAACCGAGTGTTACTGTAATATAATATATTATGTTTATAAGTGTTTTAATTCTATTTAATGGTAAAGTTTTTTTAAACCAGAACATTGAATCTGACAATGATACAGGAGTAATGTATAAAGAGAGTCTTGTTATTGATGTAGAAAGTTCTAGAACAGTGATGTAATTTACAGAGAGATCTTCCTGACTGAAGGAAATCCACACAGGATTATAAAGTCACAGGAAACAGAAGTCAGGTGTCAGTGATGTATAGATTGGTGTTACAGGAATCTGTCAGAGTGTCTGGTGTTAGTGAGTGTAGTTACATTACCCACGTGTCATCAGACCGGGTCTGGATCAGTGATACTAAAGGCAATCTCATCTTAACTAACACGAGAGGTGACATTCTAGATCGTGTGACAGATTTATATAAATATATTGGTGGAGTACATACTGTGACTCGAGATAGTGGTGTGATTTATGAAGACAGTCACCATAACCTCATTAAACTGTCTACAGATAAAGTAAAGACCAAAGTGATACCGATCACATCACCATGGTATCCATACTGTGTCTACAGCTCCCCCTCCACTGGAGACCTGCTGGTCGGGATGGATAATACTGATACAAGGACAAGCCAGGTAAACCGTTACTCTGACACAGGAGAACACATACAGACCATACAGCACGACAACACAGGCCAGAGACTGTATAGTAGACCTCTCTACATCACAGAGAACCGCAATGGAGATGTTATTGTGTCTGACATCTGGCATGGTGTAGTGGTGACAGACAGAAGAGGTAGACATCGCTTCTCCTACACAGGTCCTCCATCAGGATCACGACTAGATCCACAAGGAATCTGTACTGACGCGCTGTCACACATCCTGGTATGTGATGTTAACACAGGCACAGTACATATCATTGACCAGGACAGTCTCTTTCTGTCACAGATTGAGACAAAACAACACTGGATAGACAAACCATGGAGCCTGAGTTATGATTGTGAAACACAGCTTCTCTGGGTTGGATCATACTACAACAACACAGTAAACATTTACAGACTTATCGTTGAAGGGGACAATCTGACTGGTGAGTTACATTCTTATATGATTGTGTGTTTTATCTAATGATATTCTGTATGTACAGTCAAATAATTTTAGTATTAAATCTTTATATACTGTTAAATACTTTTTTGTGTAAATACCAAACATTAAAAATAATACATGTATTAACATTACACATGTTACATGTTTATTTAATTATAATTTGTTACACGAAGTAACAAGAAATATTTCTAAGATAGAAAAGATAAATTTATTATCTCTTTATTATTTTAAGTATAAATTGTAGTACTGATACATTTTTTGATCAGAATACTTTTAAACACATTTGCAAGGCAGGGTTTTCCAGCATGTCCAGAGAAAAAAATTGAATCAGATTATTGATAAATGTAAAGTTTTTGGAAACATTTAAAACATTATCTGGAATTAAATAATCTCCCATTTAGAACTTAATCACTGACAGGTTAATATTACTGAGGCATATAAACAATTGTCTCTGTACATCATGGTACATAAAAAGGGTTTGTTGATCAAATGCAGATCACTTCTAACTATATATATGGTGGGCTGGGCAAAGAGAAATAACTCTAAAATAAAGAACTGTTTAGGACTGATTGTGTTTCTTATCTATTTGAGAATGTAAATCACTTGAAAATTAAAATGGAAAATTGGAATTTAGTAACATGAGAAAAGCATAGTGTATACATTTAATACCTATATAATACAGTTGTACTTATAATATGTACTTTGTATATAAAATATAAAGGTTATGAAAAAATGATATGGTTAAGAATTAAAAGTTTTGGGCTGAAATCTACTAAAAGTGTAGGAGTCTCATGAGTAAATCCACTGACCTTTTGCTATTTGTTATATGGTTTTTGTCCAGCGTCATTAGTTGTCTATTTACATTCAAACATTTACCATGTTTACAGCTTCTTCTCATAAACTGCTTAACAAATTTCAACCAATGTTGACATACATCATCTAGTAGAAGTTAGGCCAAAATAAAAAATAGTCTTGTTTCCTGCTAACTGACCTACCCTAATTTTTTTGCACCCGACCCTAAAGTTTTTTTTTAGCTTTTGGGGAAAAAATTCAAAATTTTAGAAATTTCATGTTTCAAAGTGAAAAAATTTATATATTCTCAAGTTGTATTTCATGACATATATGTTTAATAAAATATGGACTTTTGTAAAATTGCTCGAGATGTGCATCCAAAGACATGGAATTTCATTTTAAAAGATGATATTGACCTTAGCTACCTAAGCTATGACATGTTCAATTTGGTTTTGTAGTAGTTCATATCCAAAAAAATACTGTTGGAAAAAATAAACTAATTTTCCAACCTACCTACCCTATTTTTTTCTGGCTGGTAGCAGGAAACAAGACTATTATTTTTTTTGGCCTTATCAAGAAATTGTGAATTCCATGGATCCCCCCACCCCCAGAGTCTAAAGATTGGATTCTAATGATCATAGTGTAACATTGTATAATTTATTTAAAAGTCTTCTCTCTCTCCTGTAAATAAATCAGATAAACTACATGTACATGATGTAGGTAAAAAATTGAGGAATTTTGTTGCATCAGGGTCATTAGTTCTTAGGAAGGGAGGGGGTTCTATTGATTGATGGGAGATGTTTATCTATTTGAAAATTTTCTTCTCAAAACCTGTATAATAAGAAAACAAACTACAACAAACTCAGTGTATAGTAATGATGAGCAATCTTTAGTGCTTCTTCTAAAATTGTCAATTGTAAGTTCCAAATTGGCCCAATGGTCAGGGATTCTAGTGTTAAAGTGAGGCTATGTTGACTTTATAGGGAAAATCACTGTATTATTAACTTGAAATGCTATGCTCATTGGCAATTATAGAATATAAATTTGCATAGAAAAGATGTTTTTTTTTTTTACAAGATTTGAGAAATTCTAGATTACATCATGTCCATCATGTCCATGATCAAATGTTCTTGATCTTTTGAAATGATAACCTCTAAGGGTAGGGTCACAAAGGAAGATCAAAGTTTTACATGTACATTGGAATATAAAAGATCAAATCTTCTGCCCAGGAACAGCACATACATGTTGGTAAATTTTTATATGAAAGCATCCCCATGAAGTGTACAGTGGAGTCTCATTTATCTGGACGGTTTGGTTCCTAGTCAATTTTTCCCGGATATGTGAACCATCCTGATATCTGAATCACCAGTTAAACAAGACAAAATAACACAATTAAAAATTTCGTTCTGGTGAAAAATTGTCTGGATACTGAAGGCAAGCATCGGGATATCTGAACGTCCACTGTAGATTCAAGCTTGTTCAAATTTATTAGGTAAAAATCTTCAAAACTTTTGCTCAAGATCAATCAACTAAAGCTATTTGTAATATTGATACCATTAAGGAAGGAGCATCAGCTAGTTTAAGGACCCTCTCTACACAAGTGCAAATTTTTTTTGGACATTGAGAAAAATATATTGTATAAAGGAGTTAATATTGAGCTTATTTATTTAATTTTCACATTATAGTGCATGGCATTTACCCCCGGGAAAAATGTTCAAAGACATCACAGTATAAGTGAATAGAAATCACTTTAATTACTTCAATGGAGAAAATACATGTAAACAACACGTTCAGTTACTTTATCTTGGCCTTTTAAAATATTAGAATACTTAAATTCATTACATATTGAGTAATATATTGTAAATTTTTATGTTTTAGAATTTATATCTAAGGGCAGATCACTCAAACTGCAGAAAATACCTTAGAATCAGAACTCTTTAGCGTGCAGTGTAGAGAGGGTTCTTAAAATTCAAGTTTGGCACCCACACCTCTTTATGTAAACATTTCAATGATAAAGTGATTTGTGCCTTTTCTTAACCAATGTGGTCAGATGAGGTACAGCGCTATGACAAAAGTATTCGCGATTTTTCAAAAATGGCGGACGTAAACACGATGCGCTTCGTAAAAATAAACAATAAATTGTGAAACAAATAACAGACTTACCTTTATTAATACTTGGTGAGGTGGCCCTTAGACTTGATTACTGCTAATAGTCGACGGGGAATAGATTCATACAAGGATTTGATATAGTTTTCGTCGAAGGAAGTCCAGATGTGTAAAATAGCATCGAACAATTCTTCCGGAGTCTTTATATTTGGAGCTCGATTTTGCAGAGTTCTCTTGATTTTTAGCCATAAATTCTCTATGATATTAATGTCCGGTGATTGAGCTGGCCATACAATTGTAGGAATATTATTTTGTTGTTTGTAATCTACAGTAATACGAGCTCTATGGACGGGGGCGTTGTCGTCTTGAAAACGATAGGTTTTGTTGAGGAAATGTCGGGCAATGACGGGCCAAAGTTGATCTTCTAAAATGGATATGTATTTTACTGCATTAATATTTCCATTGACCATGCAAAGTGTACCAACCCCGTGGTAAGTGATGCATCCCCACACCATTACCGAAATCCTTCTCTGCCGAGGGGGGCACATGCACTGCGGCAAGTACGATTCTTTAGATGTTCTCCACACATACATTCTATGATTCTCTCCTAAAACTATCTGACTTTCATCAGAAAATATAATTGTGTTCCAATAATTATTCACTGTGAGTTTTCTTTTCTCTAAACACCATGCAACACGCCTTTTTCTGTTGATCTCGGAAACGACCATTTTTTTTCTAACAACTCTTCGCTTATAATCATGATCACGTAAAAATCTTTGGACTGTCCGTGGATTAACAAAGTCATTAGCATCCCTGCTTTCATTAAATTCATTAGTAATATCCTTTAAAACCCGTCCTCTGTTAGTTTTAGTATGTCTAATAATCCAGTTCCGATCTCGTTTTGACAGCTTCCGGGGACGTCCTTTTCTTTTCAAAGTTTTGACTTCACCAGTTGACAAATATTTTTTCCAAATAGATCTGATGGTTGACTCAGGTATTTGTAATAAATTCACAATTACTGATGTTTTTTGCCCCTCCTTTTTCATTTCCACAATTAATTTTTTGACATCATTAGATATTTCTGTAGATTTCCTACCCATCGTAATATCTGTGTGTTTACATAAAATCCAAGACAGCAGACGATAAAAATACTTACATATAACGTCACTTCCGATGTGAAGACAACTCTGTAAAAATTTCGTATGTCAACACGGCATCTAATTAGAGTTATTGCCCATTCCCCGAGCGAGGCGCAGCGCAAGAAAGACGCCATTGCGTAAAAATCGCGAATACTTTTGTCATAGCGCTGTATGTGGCTGATGGGCTTTTTATGTCTATGTATCTTTACAGTATTGTATTATACTCAGGTGACTATTATGGCCCATGGGCCTCTGAATTTTATTCTTTGTTTAATGGAAAAAAATTTCTATTGTGTTCTGAGAACTCTTCTTAAATAGAACATGATTGTGACTTTTTTATCCAACCTTTGATGTTTTAGATAAAGTTGATGAGTTAAAGACGTTCTTGAGAAAGGAGAAGACAACTGTTACCCATGCCAGAGGAATACTTGTTGGATGTGCTGAGGCTGGAAAAACAACGCTACTGAAGCGATTAAGAGGGCAAAGTCAAAATATCGGTGAAGTTACAGAGTCCACCAGGGGATTGGAAGTCCATCAACATCTTTTCATTGTTAAAGATGGAATTTTAGAAGGTAACTGATACACTTACACGGGATATATAGACATTTTTTGCTCTTTTACAGATTTTACATTTTAAAGCCAAAGACCTAAAGACCTTCACTAATACCATTTTACCATATTTACTGTGGCTCTGTTTCCTGCGTAAAAGTAAAAATTGAAGCCCTTCACTGATAAATGGCAGTGTCTCTTTTTCAGAGAAAAATAACTGAAAATTTTTGATAAAATGAGACGTCAAACAACACACAATCAAGAATTTATTTATTTTCTCTTTCTTAGAAAGCAATTGTTGGATTTCAAGACTTTCGAGCTGAACTTACATTAACAAACTTTAACTTTCACCTTTTTGAGGGTTGGGGTGATAAAGCCTTTTATTACTAGTATATACCCTAAAGTTCCTTGTTTTTGTAACTGTTAATTTTACAGAGTTTTATCCAATATTCCAAATCACCACGCAGGGGTAATAAGGAAACATACAAAATATTCTACCTTGACTAAATTAGTGCTACATTATTACGTCATAGTAGGCGAGGTGACGTCAATTTCATAAAACAAGTTTTCGTAATATTGGTATATACATATGTAATTCAAGGACTCGATTGCACGGCGTCACGTGATCACGTCATATGGTGAGTAAAAAAAGAATGTTTGCTGTAACTATTACCGGAATAAGGAGCGTCGTATGTTTGCGCTTGACAAAAGTTTTTTTTTCTAAAGTAGAGAGAGTATAAGATATTAAAGATTGTGACGATGCACTGAAAGTGTTGGTGAGCGTTGATCATATTTTTTATCAACGTGCATGTTTTACGATTTGACACGTCTATCTATCGTTTTTCGTTGAACATTGAAATTTATTTCATTAAAAATAAATTTGATTTATAACTTGAGGTTTATATCTTCATTTTGAAATTAGAATTTTATTTAAAATTGTTGTTTATCATAGGATCTACATCTATTTGTAAATAATTTCCAATAAGAGATTCAGACGGCGTGATTTACTAGATACATGTATAAATATTGATGAAGGAAGGCGATTTTGATAAATGTATTACGGCGATGACCACTTAGGGCTAGAAGAGATATCTTTTAAAAAAAAAATATCACAGAGGATTTTGTTTTCTCCTATTAGATCTTTAGCATTTTCAGCAGTAAACATCGACCGCGTAAACATTCAATCATCGTCGCACATATATTGTAAACGATTGTTGTAAAATGTTTTATGCGTCGTATTGAAACACAACACACTTCTGAAAGAATATCAGGGAAGATAAATGAACATAAATAAATAAAAGAAACATGTGAACTCATCATGCTTATGGGAATACATTTGAAAACTGTTTGTTTTTTAATCACATGAACATTAACATAGATGTTTCACTCCAGCATTTATCATAAAGCGACGGAAAGTGATTTCAATCAATGATTATTTTATAATCAAAACAGTAGATCTATAGTTTTGACGTCAATTCTATCATTATGACGTCACAATGGAGATAGCGCTCATCAATGTACAGGAAATGAAGTGTACTTACTTGAAAAGAATCGGAAGCAAAACTACTTGTAAATGACTAAATGTGAATATTTAGAATAATCAGAATTACTATAATTTGGCCAGTAAGATTATTAATGATGAATACATTTATATAAAAAAAAACATATAAATAATGCAGTTGTAAACACGTTTTAGAAAATAACCTCTATTCATTCAATCTGTTTAAATGTCTGACACCCCCCCACCCCCCACCCCCCCGATTCCAGGTCACTGAGAAGAAACTTCGCTGAGTGTTCCAAGCGAGGAATAAAGCCTTTGAGGACTGTGCACTGGTTTATAATATATCATTTATATATATTGATTATAGTAACAAAATGAATGTTTTGGAGATAAAAAATTGAGTTTGAAAAAAAAAAAGTTATTTTCGTGACCACTGTCGGTAATAAGTAAATAATTGTGCTTCACATGTAAAATGAGCATCAGCTGCCAGATTTTCAGAGAAAAAGTATTTATTTATCTATACATATGGCCTTTATTGTCTTTAAACAGATTATGCATATTTAGGGTCCAACAACAAACCATCATATGAAAATCTGTGAAATCTTTTAATATTCTAGGAGGGGGGGGGGGCTGAAATGCGTGTACCTTCAAAATTAATCTGATTACCTTACTTCATATCTTAACCATAAGTCACTTATAATGACTAGTACAGCATATATTAGTTTTGGGAAAATTCATTGGGTAATTTTTAGCTCACTTCGACGAAGTCGAGATGAGCTTATGCTATACCCCCGGCGTCGGCGTCGGCGTTAGCAGGTTAAAGTTTTAGGAGCAAGTCCATTCCCAAGTAACTATTACCCCTATCTGAACCAAACTTGCATGGATGATGCATCTAGGGATGTACACTACCAGACTTGCTTCGGATGCTGGATCTGACCTACATTTTCCAGATGAGTGACCAGGTTAAAGTTTTTGGAGCAGGTCCATTCCCAAGGAATTATAAGCCCTACCTGAACCAAACTTGCATGGATGATGCAGCTAGGGATATACACTACCAGACTTGCTTCGGATGCTAGATCTGACCTACATTTTCTAGATGAGTGACCAGGTTAAAGTCTTTGGAGCAGGTTAAAGTTTTCGGAGCAGGTCCATTCCCAAGGAATTATAAGCCCTACCCAGACCAAACTTGCATGGATGATGCATCTATGAATGTACACTACCAACTTGCTTCGGATGCTGGATCTGACCTACATTTTCCAGATGAGTGACCAGGTTAAAGTTTTTGGAGCAGCCCATTCCCAAGGAATTATAAGCCCTACCTGAACCAAACTTGCATGGATGATGCATCTATGAATGTACACTACCAGACTTGATTCGGATGCTGGATCTGACCTACATTGTCTAGATGAGTGACCAGGTTAAAGTTTTTGGAGCATGTCCATTTCTCAGGAACTATAAACCCTATTTGGACCAAACTTGCATGGATGATGCATCTAGGGATGGACACTACCAGAATTGCTTCGGATGCTGGATCTGACCTATATTTTTATTCCCAAGTAACTATAAGCCCCACCTAAACCAAACTTGCTTGGATGATGTATCTAGGGATGGACACGACCAGACTTGCTTCGGATGCTGGATCTGACCTACATTTTCATTCCTGAGTAACTATGAGCCCTATTTGGACCAAACTTACATAGATGATGTATCTAGGGATGGACACTACCAGACTTGCTTCAGATGCTGGATCTGACCTACATTTTCATTCCCAAGTAACTATTAGCATTACCTGAAGCAAACTTGCATGGATTATGTATCTAGGGATGGACACTACCAGCCTTGCTTTGGATGCTAGATCTGACTTTCATTTTTCATTCCCAAGTAACTGTAAGCCCTAGCTAAACCAAACTTGCAGGGATGATGCATCTTAGGATGGACACTATCAGACTTGCTTGGGATGCTGGATCTGACCTATATTTTCCATACAAGAGACCAGGTTAAAGTTTTGGTAACAGATCAATCCGAATGAACTTGAAGTCTTTGATATCTGCAGATTTAACACTAAATGTGTAAATGCCTTGTAGAGGGTTAAGAACAACTTGCAAGAATATTGTTGTTGGGATGAATACTTAATATTAAGAAAATATGATGTAGGATTTGCATTACTTAAACTGATAACATTCGTCGAGGTGAGCTTCGTAATCTTTGATTACCTATGTTTTGTCTAGACGTTAAAAACTGCTATTTAGGTGAAAATATTACTGCAAATTTACAATTAATACTTCCCCAAAAAACAATGGCATTACTACTTTTATCAATAGTTTCCGAAGCAATTTTTATTTTCAATAAAAATAAAGCATATTATTAAATATCTGCAAGAAAATTTTTAATTTGCTTCAATTTTGTTGCATATATGGCATTATTAAACATTCACCTCATAGATATCAAAAGATTAAAAATGGTGATACCATGGCAACCATAACTTCCTTATGAGCCTGATGATCATGCTTGATACTTTGATATAATGGTATTATTGACATTAGGAACGTTATATGTAAAAATGAAAAAAAAGTCATTGGGCAGAATTTTTTCACGGACCCGTGCAATCCTTTCCTTAACTCTAGAAAATGAATAGATACGTGTGTAAACATTAACAAAAATAAAATGTTTTTATTTTGTTATGCTGTATCTGTCATTTGATTAAACTCTATCACCGATGACGTCATATGTGTACTTCAAATAACTTGGGAATTCATCATGTCATGTAAAGAGAATTTGGCTAAGACGGCATGTACAAAGATACGTAAAATGGAGTTTAAAAGGAAATATTGTGAATATTGTGTGACATTCATATGGAGTTCACTTAGTTAAACAGGTATGCTAATTTATTTTCATCAATTATATTCTCTTTCGAAGACAGTCAGCTCTATATGAATCTCGGTCAGTCTTTCCTTTGTCATTCGTTACAAAAATAATGCAACAGAACAACAATAAGCTGGATATTTCAAAACATAAGATTTGTACAGATGGAAAGTTTGCCTTCTGACAATCTTAGAAAGTGCTGCTAGAATCCCGAGTTAAGCGTGGTTTTACGAAAAATCTCGGTTCAAATGTATAAAATTCAAAACATTGGGTAAGGTTTCGTGCCAATGTGTGGAATAATTATTTTACTGAAAGGACAGTGGGATTCTAGCAGCACTTTTTAGGCAAAATAGATGTTTTTCAACTCTATTTTTTACTTAAAGAAATTATTAGACTCCGTGGTATTGTTGTTCTGTTAGCTTTTTTTATTAAGTAAAATTTCACTATGAATAGAAGTCATGTGATGCTGTGGCGGTGGTGCACGTCTTTGCGTTAGACACTCTTTTATCTGTATGCAATAGTTAATAACAGTTTAATTTACCTTTATTAGCAGTTTTGGTAATTTATCAAACTTAATTTTCTTTAAAAAGTCTAAATTTCTCGAGAAAATACTTATATGCTTCCTTAACATACCCGTGCACAATTGTTTTCTCAATCCATATCATTTCTCTCTGAAATTGATGATGTAGTACACAGAAACATAACATTTTTTTTCTAGCAAATCAAAATGTTCCTTAACAAAATGCTTTGTTACAAGGAAAAATATTATTTATTTTTAAAACTATATTTTGATAGTTTTAAGGAGGGTATTAAATTGTATAATAAAGAACAAGTAACAGTTTCAATACAAATTAAGCCCTATATTTTTCTAAAATAATGAAAGTTATATAAGAAATTAAGATTCATTCTTTCTGATTCATTGGAATTCCATGCCCTAAATGCTTATTGTGTTGTCATTAACTTGTGCAATTTCCCATATTTTCTTAAAAAGTTTCAGAACACAGATTTTCAGTGATGCTTTCTTTCAAAAAACATACTCTGCTACCGTCACCCAAAAAGATTTTGAGACATGTGATTTATCAAAGCAGTTTACATAATAAATGCAAAAACTGAATTGGGCAATGGTGGCAGACACTATTTTTTAAAGGAAAATAAGCACAGGAGGCTTTTCTGCATTAAAATTAGAAATATATACCAAATTGATAATGTCATATTTCCAGGAAAGTCCTCCTTCACGTCATATTCTTTAATGATTTATCATATCCATCTACTCAACTCTTGTTAGAGACAATTTCATAACTTTTTTTAAGAACATTAAAATTTTAAGGGCACAATAAAGTCCAAATTGTACCTTCTTCTTTATCATTACAGTGTATAACAGTAACTTGATCCAAAGAGTCGTATCACGTCTCATTGACAGGCACAGATCATCAGAACAAACTGGACGCTTCGTGTCTTGTTTGATCTAATGATCCGCACCTTTCAACTCAACGTTGTACGACTCTTCAGATCAATTAGCTGTTATAATGATAAATATGTACCTGTCTATATTCAATATTATTCATTATGCCCCCCCCCCTCGAAGAGGGGAGGGCATATTGCTTTGCTGCTGTCTGTTGGTCCCTTAGTTTCTGTTCATTTTATTCACAAGCGTTGCACATATTGAAATGAAATTTGGTATACAGATAAATCACATTAATATCTAGGTCAAGTTCTGTTTTGGAACGTCAACAATCGCACCATTTTAGACAGAGTTATGCCATTTGGACTTAGAAAAATTCCAATTATTTGTAGTTTCCGTACATTATCTTCCCAGCTGTTACACATACTGAAATGAAATTGGTATTCAGATATATCACATGAATATCTAGGTCAAGTTCTGGTTACAATCGGACTATTTTTAGGTCACCTGAGTTTACTCAGGTGACCTATTGCTATCTGTTTTCGTCCGTCGTCGTACGTTGTGCGTTAACATTTGAACATTTTCAGCTTCTTCTCTGCAACCACTGAACCAATTTCAACCAAATTTGGCACAGAGCATTTATGGGTGAAGGGGAACAAAATTTGTGAATTTCATGATCCCTGCCCCCCAGGGGCCTGAGGGACGGGGCCAAAACCAAGAAATTAATGCAATCTTTAAAAATCTTCTTCTTTACTCCTGGGCATCAAGCAGTCAAACTGTTTGCATGATTATAATCAGCAATGAGTCCTCTACCAAAATTGTGAAATTCATGGCCCTGGGGTCAGGGGTTCTAGTGCTAGGGTGGGGCTAAATAAGTAGGCAGTGAACATGCATTATTTCTTTGAAAATCTTCTTCTCTGCTCCTGGGTATTAAATAAACTAAGTACATAGTTATGATGAACAAGAGTGCCTCTACCAAAATTGTGAATTTTATGGCCCCAGGGTCAGGGGTTCTGGTGTTAGGGTGGGGCTCTATTGATTATATAGTGAAAATACAGGAATTCTTTGAAAATCTTCTTCTCTGCTCCTGGGTATTAGATAAACTAATTAAGTGCCTAGTTATGGTGTGCAAGAGTGCCTCTACCAAAGTTGTGAATTTTATGGCCCCAGGATTAGGGGTTCTATTATTGGGGGGGGGGGGGGCTCTATTGATTATATAATGAAAATACATGAACTCTTTGAAAATCTTCTTCTCTGTTCCTGGGTATTAAATAAACAAACTAAGTGTCTAGTTATGATGAGCAAGAGTGCCTCTACCAAAATTGTGAATTTTATGGCCCCAGGGTCAGGGATTCTAGTGCTAGGGCGGGGATCTAAAGATTTTGTAGCTAAAATACATGAATTCTTTGAAAATCTTCTTCTCTGCTCCGGGGTATTAAATAAACTAAGTGCATAGTTATGATGAACAAGAGTGCCTCAACCAAAATTGTGAATTTTATGGCCCCAGGGACAGGGGTTCTGGTGTTAGGGTGGGGCTCTATTGATTATATTGTGAAAATGCATTATTTCTTTGAAAATCTTCTTCATTGCTCCTGGGTATTAAATAAACTAACTAAACACATAGTAAAGATGAGCAAGAGTGCCTCTTCCAGATTTGTGAATTTTATGGCCCCAGGGTCAGGGGTTCTTGTGTTAGGGCGGGGCTCTATAGATTATATAGTGAAAATTCATTAAATCTTTAAAAATGTTCTTCTCTGCTCTAGGGTATTAAGCAGACGAACTACCTATATAGTTATTATCTACAAGGGCCCGAATCTTCCAGAATTGTGAATTTCAAGGCCCCAGGGTCAGGGGTAATATGGGGGGTGTAATTATATACTGAAAATGAATGAATGGTTTGAAATCTGCTCCTTGGTATTAATCAAATATCAAGGCCTAAGGGTCAGGGGTTCATGTGTGGTAGGGACACTACTGATTATTGCTGAATTTAACTCATTAGTTGAAATGCATTTTTTGTTCCCCTACCTTGTGTATGGGTATTAAGTAAACAAACTAAGCAACTGCTAAGTGTATTGTTATGATGAATTAAATTTAATCACTGGAAAGTTGTTGCATAATGCTCAGGTGACCTATAAGGCCCATGGGCCTCTTGTTGTCAGAGTTATGCCCCTTAGACTTAGAAAAAATTCAATTATTTGCAATTTCTGTTTATTTTCTTTGCAACTGTTGTACAAAATTGAATTGAAATTTAGTATACAGATTTATCATATGAATATCTAAGCCAAATTCTGTTTTGGGTACAATCATACCATTTTTGACAGAGTTTTGCCCTTTTTGGAGAAATTCCTATTTTTGGGGAAGGCGGCATAAGTGTTTTGCAAACATCTCTTGTTTAAAACATATCATATGCATTTAAAAGAAGGCGAATATGATAAAATTATCTGTAATAATTTGTAATGTTAGTAAATATTTCTTGAGTACTGTACATGTACATATCAGATAAGATAATTTTAATGAAAATTATTTTAATACATGTTTTTACAGTAGTTGATGACGATTCACCATTGAAGACATTTATCAGGATAAATGCCGCGGACCTGAAGCCAAAAATAAGCAGTGCAGTTGACCATTCCAATCCAAATGAAAATAGAGATAATTCGGGACTGAAAAGTCATTACAAAGAGAGGGGGGAAACCATGCTCTATAGCCGAGAAGAAGAGAAAGTTGAGTTGTCTAGTTCACCTAATGAAGGCAAAGAAGAAGTCAATACAGTAGAGGTAATGGCCCTTGTTCTTTCCTCAAAAGAAGAAAAAAGGGTGAAAGATGAAATTTTTCAGAAAATCTTGTCTGAAAAAGAGAACTTACCAACTGTCAGCATGCTTGATTTTGCTGGTCAGTTAGCGTATTATGCCTGTCACCAAATTTACGTAACACCAAAGGCCTTCTTTATCCTTGTGTTGGACATGACCAAGAAGTTTGAGGATGTTGTTGATAGGGAAAAAGATAATCAAGAAGGATCCATCTTCTCTGTGTGGACTTACAAAGGTAAGACATAGTATTGTCATGTCAAAATTTTGTCTGTATGGCTTACACTCATGTCGATGAAAAAACATTATGCAGTATAAGACACTCTAGCTTGCCAAAAAAATGTAAGAGAAAATTAAAAAAAATTAGAGAAAGTTCAAAGGGGGGGGGGGGGTAGTTCACTTTAGCCAGGGAGCTTTTTTTTTCTGACTGTTAACTTCACATTTGCTTTTCTAAAGATCCAGTTATATAGACAAGTTTCAATTACACTTTTTACAAATTGTCCTAGGGTATACATTATTCAATTCTGTGCAACTGAAGGACCAAGCCATCTTTAAAAAAGAAAGATAATTGAGAGTAAATGATCAATTAATGGCATTCAAAAAATTCTCTAAGAACCATCCAGAGTCCTCTCATAGTGAAGATTAAAGTTTGTTCAAATCGTGTACCCAGAGAGAAAGGAAGGACCACAATGGGCCAAAATGATTTAATAGGAAATTACAGGATAAATTTGAAAAAAAAAATCCTTCTTTCTAGAAAGGCTAGCATGCTTAAGCCTTGATAAGTTTATAATAATTATGAGATTGCCTGATGGTTTGTTGCATACATACAATTTGCTACTGACTCTATACACAGTAGTAAATTGTTGAATATAATTATGTAAGTGATTTTTAAAAGGGATTTCACAGGCAGTTTAATATTCATTATTTACTATACATTTTGCAATTACATAAAATTAAAAGTCTAATGAGCGTTTTTACATAATTATTGAGCGTTTTTGCATTTAAAAAAAAAAGAAAAAGCCTGTTCCTGTTCACTCTTGTAAGTACAATAGAAGTGTTAGTTCTCGTCAATGATGTTTTTCTGTTTTATCCTATTACGACGCCCTATTTCTTTGTCAGACTACCTGAAGTTTTGGATAACCTCAATCAAGACTTTTGGAGGCACTAAGGCACCACTGTTCATTATTGTCACACACACAGAAGGAACATCTATAGATGTAAGTATAACTGATGTAACAGTTATATATATAATAGATAACTGATATAACAGATGTAAGTTGAACTGAAATGTAAATATTTCATACTAGATGTCAATTATAAGAAGTTATGCTAAAAAGTCAAGGGAGTAAAAATGGATTTTTCCCTGGTTTTAAATATATGCAGATCACTCTCTTTCGCTCATCTTAGCAAAAAACTCAATTGAGCTTATCTGACTTCACTAACCTTGTCTCTTACTTCTTTAGCTCACCTGAGCCAAATGCTCACGTGAGCTTTTCATGTTCAAAATTTGTCCGTTGTCAGTCGTCGTCGATGTCGCCATTGTCAGAGTTAACTGCATGTTAAAGTTTTCCTCTTCTTCTCAAGAAACACTGAGCCAATATCAACCAAACTTGCCACAAATTACACTCATTATCTCGAACATGGGATATCTCTAATACCCCGCTTTTGTCGAAGTCGATGCCGGTCCCGTCCATATTCTCTATAAATATGATTTAAAAAAAAACACCTGTTTTGTCAAACACGGTAATCTTGAATACGAAGTATGTTCAACATCTCAAGACCCTTTTTACCTGGCTTATCTCAAAGTGCAGTGAATTTTGGGGTCTACTGAACACACCTGGCATCACGACTTCAAACATTCTTGCAAGTGGCTATCAATTAAGACCTTCAAACCTAGTGAATCTTAATTAATCCCAAGCTCATGTTGGGTATCTGTGACAGGTTAATTGGTATGACAGCTTGGGTGTTTGGTGTAGTCCTATATGATCGATAAAACTAACCACTTCGCAGCAACTCAGAAATTAAGGATGTTCGATCCTGAGATTTTAGCATATTTTGGTCAGGTCCTTTATTT